ATTTCGATCTTGGAAGGCTAAAAAGCTAAATGCCTGATTCAAAATAATTTCTAACATCCTTGAAATACTGACTAAAAGTTCCATAATTGCAAGAAATTACGGTTAAATCTAATCAGTGGAGGACTGTCAGTAATACGCTCAGGCATATCAATTGGCTTTTTTGTTAATACCTGAATATTCACTTTCACAAATAGGTGAATATTAAAAAGTTAATTTGAAGTGGGGAAAAAAAAGGGATCTCTCACACATGGGGATATATTCAACAGGTACCTTTGCAATGACCAAATCCACAACAGCAGCCTCCTCTACTGCTCCCTGTGCCCCTCACTGTCACTTCTTACTCAACTACAATATACATTCCCATGACTACTGCACCAAGGTCATTACAAACTTAATGTGGCCCTTGACCTGCCTCTAACCAACTTTTTTTTTTACCTTTTGTTGTGTGTGTGTGTTAAAATACATATCACATAAAACTTACCATCTGACCATTTTTAAGTGTACAGTTCAGTGATATTAAATTCATTCATGTTGTGTAGCCATCACAACCATCTATCTCAATAACTATTGTCACCTTATAAAACAGAAACTCTATACCTAGTAAATAACAGTTCCCCATTCTCCCCTCCCTGCAGCCCCTAGCGATCACCATCCTACTTTGTATCTCTATGATTTTGACTGCTTTAAGTACCTCCTATATGTGGACTTATACAATATTTGTCCATTTGTGACTGGCTTATTTCATTTAGTCCTCAAGTTTCATTCATGTTGTAGCGTGTGTCAGAATTTCCTTCCTTTTTAAGACTGATTACTATTCCATTATATGGATATACTACATTCTGGTTGATGGGCACTTGGGTTGCTTCCACATATTGTAAAACGAATCAACTTCTTAACTAAACCAGGTGACCTCAGCCCTGCAACTGAACTCATCCAGCGATTACCTCATCAGCAGATGGACTTTTGCTGATGGTGATCCCAGGTGCAAACATCCCCAGCCCACGCCCCCCTGTACCCCACCAGATGTGTCCTCCACCTAGACTTCCTCTCCCACTTGCCCTCCTCTTCCTCCTGTGAACCCCAACTCACCTGTCTTTTGAGTCTGGCTCTCTGCTCTCAGATCTCAGCTCTTCTAACACTACCCCGTACACCACTGCCCTCTTGGGAGCCATTGCCAAGTGTCTGGGTGAGCCTTACCAAAGCGTACCAACTGTTGAGTACATTACAAGCACCAGCTCACTTACCTGTGTCTATTACAGCCTCTCCGACCAATCTTAAGGAAACCCTCGCGACAGCATAACTCTTTGCATCAATGGACCAAATCTCCAAATCATCTTCCCAGCGGGTACAAACTTTTAATTGGTTTAAGCCCAAAACAGACAAATAGACAAACATAAATGACTAACAGAGACAAGACCAAACAGTCAGACCATGAAACCAAAAGAATCCAGTACCAGAAATCAACAAATCCTCAAAAAGAATCAAAATCAAATTCTTACTGTGTAGTGATGGACAAGAGCCCAGAACACAGGACCAGAATGGGACTCCCTGTGGGGCCTGGGATTGCCAGTCAGGAGTAGCACAGAGGGCCCCGAGAGGCCCACTACCTGAAAAGAGTGAATGGGGAACTGAAGACAAGGTCCAATTCATGCCAAGCGGGGGCCGCAGAACCATGGGAGAAGTGTAACAGACATTTAGGGAGATGATTTTATTCAGGCAACGGCAAGACTGAGGGGAAAGTGGCTTTTTTGGATCAACCATCACTCAGAGCAGAGAAGAATGGGGGAGGGGGGGTTTCTCAGCCAGCACTGCTTCTCCTGAGCACAGGGCTCAGAAAAATGTCAATATCGTCAGCCTGTCTTGATACTTCTATATGCTTGGTGAATTGTGTGTGTGTGTTTCCACTGTGTGTGTCTGTCCCAGTGCTCTGTGTGTCTGGCGGTGTGCCTGCGTGTGTGCAGGATGCATACAGGACTCGTACCTGTGTTTCTACTGGAGTGTATGTGTGTGTGTGTGTGTTTCAGCATTTAGTCAGGCCTGGTGGGCTATGTTTGGCTGTTCAAGCTGGCTATCTGTCCCCATGTTTCTGTTTGCTGTGGGATGTGTGTTTCTTGGTGTGTCTATGTCCATGTTTCTCTGTGTCAGGTGGTGCGTATGTTTTTATAAGGTATGTGTCTCCATATTTCTATGGATCTGGTGCAGTGTACGTGTGTTGCAGGTTGTGTGTGTGTCACTGAGTTTCTGTTTGTCTAGTGGCATGTGTAAATGTGTCTCAGCATGTGTCCATCTGGATGTCTCTGGTGGGAGATATATGTGATTGCAGAGTGAGTGCCTCTCAGTGCTTTTGTAGGTCTGGGCCGTGTGTGTTGCAGGGTCTGTATCTCTCTCGATGCTTCTGTAACTTGGCTTTGTGTGTGTGTGTGTGTGTGTGTGTGTGTGTGTGTGTGTGTGTGTGTTGCAAGGTTGTGTCTGTGTTTTAGTGTCTGTGATTTCTCTTTGGCCTGTGGTGTGTGTGTGTATAGCAGGGAGTTTCTGTCTCGGTGTGCCTGTATCTGGTGGTACATAGTATGTATTGTGGAATGAGTCTTTTCTTCTGTTCTGTGCATCAGCTGGGCTGTGTGTATGTCTCTTGGAGTGTGAGAATGTCTCTCTGTGTTTCTGTAGGCTGGCTGTACGTGTATGTTTGTTGCAGTGCGTATTGCTCCCGGTGTTTCTGTGGTTCTTTGAGCGCATGTGTGTGGAGTTGCAGGGTGTGTTTCTGTGTGTGGTGGATTGTGTGTTTGTGTTGGACAAGGAGTGTTTCTTTGCGTCTGGTTGTATGTGTAGGGTATGTGTTGCAGTGAGTGTATCAATCTCGGTGTTTCTGTGGGTTTGGTGCTGTGTTTTGTGCTGTGGGTGAGTGTTTCTCTGCAGGGTTTCTGTGCATCCGGCTGTGCATGTGTGTAACTCTGTCTGTGTGTTGTGTGCTGCGTCCCTATTTGGAACCCGGCCGGGCTCTGGCCTACTCCAGTCCCACATTCCTCCCGCTCCTTTGTGCTCTGTGCTACAAAAAAATATTTGCGTTTTCCACGACTCATAATTTTTCCTCTTCAATCGCTACCAGATGTGGGTCCTGTGGTCCCTGTCCCCATGGCAACGGAGGTTCCAGCAGCCGTGGTTCCCTTTTGTGGCGCCTGCCCTGGGAGTTGGCATGCTGCAGGCCCAAGGGGGTGGGGAGAAAGTATGTCGGGCAGGGGGTTTTCAAGGGGTCCCAGCAGCTCTCACCCCCCAAGTGGCCACCTGGATCATCCTGGGGGTGCTCCTCTGTCTGGGTCCTGCCTGGCTTCCAGGCCACAGCATCTGGCCCACAGGGCAGCAAGCAGCAGGGACTGGCTGTCAAAAATACAAGAGGTGCCCCTCCTCTGTGAGGCACCCACACAGAGGGTTCCTGAAGGTTGGGGTTTGGGATGCCTGGAGAGCTCCCAGGGCAGGGGGAGGAGGGGCCCCATGAAAGCCCTGGTCGATATGACCACCCTGGTCTCCCCAGTATGCTGGTCAAAGCTGGGGGGAGAGGGAGAGATAGAGCTAGCTAAGGGTGAGGGGTCAGGAGCAGCAGTATAATGATTGGTGATGCTGGGGTGGGGGTATAGCAACAGTGTGGCCAGAGCCACTGCACTGCCAACCCCCACCCTCCCTCGGTCACTGCCCTGCCCTTGCTGGACCCAGCTGGGCATCTGTCCCTCTTGGCTGACTTTGAGCCTGTGTTCTCAACCCCAGCAGCAAGCATGGCCTGGTGCCTGAATGGATCAAAAGCCAGCCCGCCACAGGACCACAGCTGGGAGGGTGCCCAGCTTGCCTAAGGGAAGCAGCATGCCCTGCAGATATGGAGCCCGCATTCCTCCTGCTGCCTGACCAGGCCAGATTCAGGGACTGTGTCCATGCAAGCCCCACCAGATGTCCTGCTGGAGTCATGAGGCCATCTCCACTCAGGTGACTGAGTTCCTATATAGGTCACTGAAGTTGACCTCAACGTTGTTTCCAGCCAGAGGGTGAGTGAGTTGCCAGGTGAGATCCCTGAACTGACAACATTGGTCAGACCTGTGCAGTGCTGTGGGTGGCAGGGCAGGGCAGGGCAGGGGAGATAACTGGAGAATCCTGGCAGAATCTCCTGATCAAAATTGCTGGGCATCAAAAGATGGGAAAGAGGCCCACTAGGCAGAGGCAGGGAGCTAGGAAGAGCCCAGGTGGATGGAGGACAATGGGCGCCACAGAAAGATAAGGCTCTGTAGCTCAGGAAGGTCACTTGAGAGGCCTGCCCAAGGTCCAGAAGCAGTGAAGATACTGGGGGACAAATGGTCAAATAGGCCAGGCCAGGGGCTGGGGGGGGGCGCGGCTGGCTAAGACTGGGCAACAGGGGACTGCCTATGAGGCCAGCCAGGGCTCTGGGCCAGGTCCCCGCTCCCCTCCCTCTCTCCCCACCTCCTGCAGATGGGGGTGGGGGGGGGTGTTGAGAGTTTCCGGCTGAGGACAAGGAGCCCATTGAGGCAGACAGCAGGGCTCTGTGCAGTCTTGTTTGTGCCAGATGAGGCCCGACTGGAGACTGTGCCCATGGCCCACTGCCCCCTGGCCTCAGCCGCATGACCCAGCCACACCAAACAGCTCAGAACCCCAAGTGTAACAGCAGAGGCCAGTGGGGAAGGCACAGATCAGATGCACCCCCACTCACCCGCTCCTTATAGCCAAGGGACTCCACTCTATTTGTCTGACCCATTCTTCATCCCAGGCCACCAGTCCAGGATGGGCCGGGCAAAGGTGGATGGGCAATAAACTCGATATACAAATAATAGGCAGATGGACACCACCTTCTTCCAACGTGGTCCCAGAAGACCCACACCTGTACTCCCAGGTTCCACTTAAATTGAGGGGTCCTGGGGGTATGAGTGCCAGCTGGAAGAGGTCACATGCAATTTGAGGGAACATCTTTATCTGAGGTCCAGCAGATAGGAAGCAGTCAGAGCACAAGTGGGGAAAGGCACTTTATTAAGAAAGCTTTGGCCAAGCCCCTGCCGGGAGGAGCCCATCCTGGGGCACCCGGATGGGGTGGAAGCAGCCCTGCCGGGGGCCTATAAATATGTCTCTTCAGGCTACTGGAGTGCCCCCTTCGGATTCCCACCAGTGTGTGGGATGGTGGGAGGCCATCAAAACCAGCTGACGGCTGAGGGGCTAGGGCTGGGGAGACTGGGGCAGGGGGCACAAGAAGGGGGAGAGTGGGAAAAGCCAAACCTAGGGCGCTGAGCCCCTTGAGGAGCAGAGACCAGCCCTCCTCCCCAGGCACAAGTCAATCAGATGCCCTGGGGCGTGGCCAGTGGAAGAAGCCTGGGGCTGTAGTCAAAAAAAGGAGACTCCAGCCAGAGGCGCCAGGCCCTGGCCAATAAGAGGCTGCGAAAGCAGAAGTGCTTCTCGCTTCAGCCAATGAGAAGACAGCCCCAGCCAAATGCATACTTGGCTAGTAGGAGGTGGTCTCTAGGCAGAACCCTCCGGTCCCAGCCTTTGGACCTGGGATGGCCGGAACCCTCCATAACTCGATCTATAGGAAGGGAGTCGCCAGCTAAGAGCCTGTCAGGCTTCGACCAATGGAATGGGGACTTCCCGCCAAAGCGCGGAGCTCCAATCAGGGAGCCGCCGTCGGGGCCTGAGCCAATAAGACGCAGCCTCCTCCCGACGCTCGGGGCCTCGGCCAGCGCTAGGCTACCGCGCTCAGGCAGCCGCAGGAGACGCCTGCCGGGCGCGCAACGCAGGGGGACAAGCAGCGCTGCGAAGCCAGGGGAAGCTGCGGGCGCGGCCGGCCGCCGCCTGCTACACAGTGGGTGCACCTGCCTTGACCAACTCGCCCCCCGCTTCCCGGCTCTTCTTGCGTGGTGGCTTCTGGATGGGGGTCTTCTTCCGGGGGGTGTCGGGCACGGGAGCGCTAGCCGCCACCTTCTCGGGCCCTGGGGTCTCGGGTGCAGGGGGCGCGCGGGCTGGCGAGGCGGGCAGAACTGAGCGCTTGGCCTTCTGCGGAGGCGCTGGCTTCTCCCGGGGACCTTGTGCGCCCGGGGTACCCTCGGTGCGGCCCAGGCTGCGAGTCTTGTCGCGCAGCTCTGCAGCCAGCATGGAGGCGGCCTCTGGCGCGCTGCGCGGGGGACCGCCAGCGTCCGTTGGCTCTGAGAAGCCAGGGCCGCGCCCCCGCGCCCGAGCCCGGGGCGGTGAGGGCGCCGCGAGGGCTGTCCCCTCTTCGGCCAGCCCCGGGGACCGTGGAGTCGGGTCGCGGGCCCGGGGACTGCCGGGCTCCTCCGGTCGCGCAGACGTGTCGCTGGGCGTCCGTTTCCTCTTGCTGGGACTGGGTGCCGCCTCGGGGCCCGGGGGTGCCGGTGAAGGCGCACGGGCAGCGGCGGCGGCGGCGGCGCCGTGCTTGCCGTGAATCCAGGACACCTTGGGTTTGGTGGCGGGGTCGGGTGGCGGCGGTTTCCTGCGCTCAGGCGATGGCGAAAGCGACAGGCCCCCAGCCTCTCCCCGGGCCCGGGCCGGCCGGGCCTCGCGCCGGGCCACGCGTGCGTACAGTGCCCCGCCAGGCCCCTCCACGCTCGACGCCGACCGCTCGCTGTCAGAGGACGCGGGGAGGGGCGTCGCATCCTCCGAGGACACCGGCGCAGGAGACGGCGCCTGTGGCTCAGCAGGGACTGTGGGGACCTCCACATCCCGGCTTTCAGTTGCCGTCTCTGACAAAGGAAAAATGGGCTGTCCAGCCTCCAGGCGCAAATCCTCGCCTTGTCCCCGTCTCCCTCCACCCTGCTGGTGCTCAGTCGCCCTGGTCATTCCTGGCACATTCATAGCACTAACCACAAACCTATTTCTTAACCCCAGAGCGTGTGGCTGATTTGGGGGTGAAGGGTGAGGGGCACGTCTCCAGCTGAAGCCCCAACCTCAGCCTGGCCTGGAACACCTCCCCCACAACATCCGCAGCCTGGGGGACCAACATCATCAAAAGTGACCCTTGAACATCTGTAAGGTGACTGATTCGTTATCCTTCTTTAAGATTTAAGTCTTCTAAGGTTAGTCACCTGCCCAAGGTCACCCAGGGGGATGGTCAGGGGAGGAAAGAGGCCAGAATCCCATCCCTTCTTGCTGTTTGTGGGCCAAAGCTTCAGGCGAAGGTATGCACCCGTATCCTGTAGACCTCCCCTCCTGTTTCCTCTGCCACCTCCTATCCAGGCCCAGAACGTTCTTTCTGCCCGGTCTTCCCCAGAAGTGAACCTAGGCTGTGGTTAGAGAAAGGAGAGTCCACCCATCTCCCCAGACCTCACTCCAGTTTGGTGCTACGCAGTACAGAACCTGGCTTTGCAGCCTCAGTGTGTCCAAACCCCAGTTAACAGCATCACCTCGCCCTTCCTCTCCATGGAGCCTGTCCTCCAGAGCACAAGTCTTTTCAGCTAGAATATTTCACTGGGCTGGAGTGAGACCCAAGCAGAGTGGTACTCACCCTCGTGGGGTACACAGTACACAGGACCTTCATCGGTGGTGTCAAAGGAGGAGAAGGAGGCCCGGGAGGACCATGATGGTGAGGGCTGCTCCAGCCCTGAGGGTGGCTCCAGGAAGCTACAGTTGAGCGTGTTATCCAGGTCGTGATGGGCCACTGGCGAAGGAGGGAGGCACAGCTGCCAGGGGCCCCACCTGCCCCAGCCTGTGCCCTCCATAGCCCTTGTACCACAAACAGTGGAGCATCCAACCCTGCCCTAAGTCTATGGATAGGACAGGCAATTCCAACAGGCAGAGTGATGCTAGGCCAGGACTGCAGAATGGGTAGCGGTGAACCCAGAAAAGAATATAGGGAGGTATAAGGCTAGTGTGTGCAACCAGGAAGCTGAAAAGGTTGGGCTGGAGTGTTGGGAAAAGAGACAAGGCCGGAGAGAACACTTGGCTGGGACAGGCCACCAGTGTCTCTAGACCATGCTTCAGACTCTGCCTTGTGGGAACCAAGGAGCCTTGGAACATTTGGAACCCAAATATTCAGTGGTGAGGCCACCTTTGGCTCAGCCCATATCAACAGGCTGCACCCACAGGCCTGGACTCCACAGACACAGACCCCACAATGGGAGAATCCCAGAGGCTGCCTGACATGTTCTCCATTTCACAGATGGGGTGTGGGGTCCAGTCCCTACACCTGTGTCCAAAGATCTTACTCTGCTGTGTGGGCTAAGGGATTTCTTTACCTGTCTCCATCTTTACCTACCAGAAAACTGAGTCCCCACTTCCTCTTATCTTTGGAAGCAAGTGGGAAAGAGAGAGAGAGAGTCCACAGTCCACCTATGGTTTGTCAGTGCAGACGGAGAGAAGCAGCACTCCCCCCTGCACCCCAGCGTCCTGAGGTAGAGTGGGTGGCCCCGGGGCCACACTGTCCACTTTCCAAGAAGAACCCAGGACACAGCAGGGTGTACAGGTAGGGGGTGGGTCTTTTTCTTGTGCCATCAATTCCCTTGCACAGGTGTCCCACAGTTCACCTGCAGCTCCAGGTGAATGCACCAGGCCTTAGAGGGTGCTCTTACAGACTGCAGGGAGGCCTGCTCAATCCAGAGGTCCACACATCCTCACCGCACCCCATACACAATCACACTCACAGAGACAGGACCCAAGGCCTCCCACACACGCCTGCACACCTAGGCCTCCTACCTTCCTCCCTGGGCTCGCGCATGTCATTTGCTCTTTCCTTCCCTCTGGTCGCACTTCCCCATGCTCACCCACAAAACTTAAGGCCCCGCATTTCCCACACGGACCCCTTCACACCCATTTCCCAGCAGCCTCCTGCGTCGGAAGGTATTCCCCCAGAGGCCTCGTGACGGCATTCTTACCTACGACTTTGGGGAGCTTTTGCCTGCGGAGAGGGATCCGGGGCAGCTTCATGCTGATGCGGCTGAAGCGCCCGCACAGTCGTTGCGGCGCCTTCTTTCGCCCAAGCGAGAGCTCCCTGCGGGGGCGGGGCCTGAGTAAAGGGGCGGGGCTGGTACGGGGCCTTGAGAGGGAGGTTCGATCTCCGCGGAAGCAGAAACACGGAGACAGAAAGGCTAGAGCTAAAGAGAGGGCAGGGCCATGCCCCAGGGGCGTGAACCCTGGATAGAACCGGACTGTGTCGGGTCTCACCGGCGCGCGGGGTCCTTGCCGCGGCAGGCGCAGCAGCAGCCGAGCAGCGAGAGCAGCAGACCGAGGAGCAGAGCGAGCAGTGCGCCCGCGCCCATCACACCCTTGCGCTGGTTGGTCTCTGTGGGGGGCATAGGGTCAGCACCGGTACTTGCACACCCGCATACCCACAGCGGGATGCTCACACACACACACACACACACACACACACACACACACACACACACACACACACACGCTTACCCAGGCGGCAAGCACCGGTGACCGGGTCACAAGAGTCTTCATGACAGCTGCAGGCCTGTGCGCAGTCCACGCCGTGGAGCCCTGGCGGGCACGTCAGGTTACAGCTGCGGTGGGGCACAGGGTCAGGGAGGACGCCAGCGGCCCTCCGTGATGCCTCCCGCCGTTGCCTCTGCGGACAGCCAGCCCCGGTCCCAGAGCTTCATTCTCTAGGAACTGATGCCCACCCTCATCTCCGGGCACACAATGGGCGCTTAGTTTTGGGGAAATGAATGTGTGCAGACCAGAGGGAAAGGATCTGGGGGGTGGGCCGTGGTCACCAGGCCGCAGTGCCCATTTCGGGGCTGACTCTTGTGTGGGTGGGAAGAGGGGTTGCTAGACGAGACCCTTGGCTGTAAGTGGAAGTCCCTGCTTGCTCTATACCAGCTCGGGGTCGCTTCAGCCCTACAGTTCTTAGAAACCCACTGACCACAGGCTGAACTGGTCTCCATTTCCCACTCAGAGCGCTGGCTCCACACTAAGGCAGGAAACTGCCCCAAAGAGCCTGTTGTCACTCCATAGCTGAGGTAAGGCGGCCAAGGCTGAAGGGACAAGCCTGGGTCCCACCTTGTTGGCCAACATAACAGCAGCTGGGGTCTAGCTGGAGCCCTGTGTCCGGTACGTACCCCCAACCCCTTTAGGTCCCCGGGCACTCACTGGGGCCCGTGGACGCCAGGCCTGCACAGGCAACGCCCCGACTGGAAGTCGCAGTGGCCGCTGCCGCAGTCGGCGCAGACGAATGCACAGTCCTCGCCGTAAGTGCCATTGCTGCACTTGGTCTCGCACCTTGGAACGCGATGAGAGGGCGTCAGTGGAAATAGAGGCAAACGAACCCAAAGCCCATTGTGCCCTCCGTGGAGGGCATGGGGGAGGCGGGGCTGGGGCCTATTCCGGCACTGGCTGCTCACCGGTCGCCGATCCAGCCCGCGTTGCAGCGCGTGCACTTGCCGGTGACGTGATTGCAGGCGTGCCCATCGCGACATGGTGGGCAGCGGTTGCCGCAGCCCTCGCCGTAGAAGCCGGTGGCGCACGGCTGGTCACACTTGGTGCCGTTCCAGCCGGGCTCACAGGTTAGGCAGCGGCCTTCGGCCACGGTGCATGGCTGCTGGCCCTTGCACTGGCCGCATCTGGGGAAGGGGCGGGAGGCTAGGCAGAGCCTGGAGCCGCCTCACCTCTGCCGCCTTCGGCGGCCCACCCTTCTTCCTCCCCTCTCCCGAGCTGGGGGCTCACGCTTACCGGCGACGGCAGCCCAGGCCGTAGAAACCCGCTGGGCACGGCTCCCGGCAGTACTTGCCGCGGTAGCCCGGCTCGCAGGCGCACGTGCCGTCCACAGGGTGGCAGCGGCCGTGGAAACACTGGCAGTAGCGCTCGCAACGCGCGCCGAACGTGCGCTCACGGCACTGGCAGCGGCCGCTCTGTTGCTCGCACGGCGACGTGTTGCAGGCGCACTGATTGTTGCAGCTGCGGCCCCACCAGCCTGCATGGCACAGGCACGCGCCCGTCTGTGGATCGCAGCGTGACGTGGCGCTGCAGTAGCACGCGCTGGCGCACTGCGCGCCCCACCAGCCAGGCTCACAGCGACACGCGCCGCTCCGCGGGTGGCACGAGCCGTGCTGGCACTGGCACGCATGCTCACAGCGTGCTCCCCAGCGCCGCGCGTGACACGTACACTGGCCTGTCACGTCCTCGCACTGCCCGTGAGGGTGGCAGATACACAACTCCTTGCAGTCGGGGCCCCAGAACTGGCGCGGACACTCTGCAGGGGCGAGCGGAGAGGGAGGGAACCGGAACCCATCCTGAACCTGCCTGCGTTTTGCACCCCTGCCTCTGAGGACCCGCCCCCATGCTGGATCCAGTTCCCAGACCAGACCCCGCCCCACTCAGGCCCCGCCTCCGCACCCACATGCTCCGCCTCCCCTACCCAGGCCCCGCCCATCCCTGTAGGATCCCGACCCACTACCCAGCGCCCACTGGGATCCGCGCTCACTGGTGTCGCAGTTGGCACCGAAGTAGCCATGGCGGCAACGGCATTCCCCCGGCCGCACGCACACCTCGTTCTCCGAGCACGTGGAGTTGCCTTCGCACACCGCTGCAGATGAGAGGGGCCCAAGTTGCCGTGCGTCCAACCCCCATCCACTGCCCAGGTCCCCGGGATGCCCCACTCACCGATCCCACACTCGTCCCCCTGCTGCCTCCAGCCGGTGCAGCACGTGGGCTCCTGGGAGCTGCAGGCAGAGAGAGGGCGCCTGAGCCCCAGGCCCATCCTTGGCTGGGGCTCCCCAGCAACCTTCACTCTGCCCTGGGGAGGTGGTTATTGAGGCCCTGCGATGTGCCAGGTACTGTTGTAGGTTTTAGGTTTGGGAGAGTCCCAGCGAATAAGAAAGACACATATTCCAGTCCCCAGGGATCTGACACTGGGAGGTGGCAGAGGGCAGACCACCAACAGACTTAACCTTCAAGAACTCCCCAGTCCCCTCTACAAGGAGTTGCCCCACCCTCCACATCCCACCTTACTCTTCTGTGCCCTCCTCACTCATCCAGTGGGCTGCATTCCAAGAGGGGCAGCAGTGAGGTGGGGACTGGGGAGAGATCCCTGGGCCTCGTGGACCTGCTTAAGTGTGGCATCCCTGAGGTGGGGGCAGAGCCAGATGGGTGTCAGGGATCCAGATGTGACATGACCTGGACTGGCTAAGTCAGACAGACACCTGGATGCACAGTTGGGGCTAAATTCCAAGGCAGATGTGCAGTCTCCGGGCAAAGTGAGTGTGGACACAGTGAGGTGTCCAATCAGTGGAGGGGCACACCTGGGGAGCCCTCCATGAGAGTAAGGAAGGTAAAAGTGAGGGCTCCAGACGCCAGAGCAAGAGTTGGGGTGGAGGAAGGAGATATTAGAGCATCTACTTATACATTTTTTAAATCTTGTTTAATTTTATTTGGCTTTACAAGGTACATGATGTTACCTCAGTAGGAGGTAAATACTTTATAATTGTCACATTTCAGGGTAGTACAGCCTCCAAAACCTTGGGCTGATGGGGTGTGTGGGCACAAAGGTTTGGAGACCCTGCTGGAGTGAAGCCATAACCACTGGAGAGCAGAGTTGAGATGGGATGTGCAAAGGAGGCTGAGAACGAACAGATACTCAGGCTGCAGGTTCGTAGGGTCTCATCAGATCTAGAAGAAATTCGTCCAAATCCTAACGGCACATAGCAACCATTCACGTTTCAGAGAAAAGGTATGCGCTTCTTCAGAAGGATCTGAGTCTAGAATTGGGATGTGGTGGTGAGAAAAGGTTGGAAAGGGGCCTGAGAACCCTGGGGGAGTGGGCCAAGCTGGGAAGGGAAAGGCTGCAGCTGCCCCATATCACAGCCCTCAGAAGACATGTCCAACCATTCCCCAGCTTGAAGACATCAGCATACCCTGTATGGGGCCCAAGGGCCCCACCCCTTGAAAAAGCTTGATTCTCTTAGGCCTAAAATGTGGGACCTGGGGAATGGTACCTATAAAATCCCAAGCTGGAGGAAAGGGATCCAGTTTATTTTCCACAAATAGAACTGGAAACCTGACACAGGAACACAAAGCAGGCCTGACTTCTCCTGCCCACCCAATGTCTGTACCTCCCCCGCCCTGCCCCAGGGCTCCTGGTGGCCATTTGCCAGTAGACCCAAGTCTGCAGGCCCCTTACCCTCCTGCTTTTTCTGCTAGTTCTGAACCCAGATCTCTGGGATGAGAGCCTCTGCAGCCTGCCAGGTGGACTGCTGGAATGGCCCTGGAAGCACCAAGCACCTTCTGCCCATGCCACACGGCTCTGTGGTTAAGAGCTTGGTTTTAGGGCCCCACTAAGTTGGATTTGATGCCTGTGTCTGCCACTTGTGTGACCTTGGGTACGGAACTTAACCACTCTGAATTTCAGGGTCCTTATCTGTAGAATGGGCCCAATGGGTTTGGCAGGAGGATTAAGAAAGCCAAGTTGTGTCAAGCGTTTGGCACAAACTAAGAGCTTAGCCAAGGCTGTGGTCCACTCTCCAGCCCATGCTGAGCAGGCCCCAGGAAGCCCCTGAGTTCACCTGGTCCCCCCAGCATGACCAGTCCCCAAACACCAACCCAGTAGGATGGAGTCCATGTGGGTTCACGAAGAACAGGAAGACAAGCCTGTGGGACAGCTGTCTTTCCTTTTGGGAAGGGCTGGCAAACAAGGCTGGGCTGGTGTGGCAAGCCCATTCTCCCAAGATCTTAAGAAAGTGAAATGAGAAAGATGGCCTTGTGAAGAAGGCAGTTCCCATACTTGAGCTATAAGTCGGTGAGACCCTAGAGAGCCTGGCTGGGCCCAGACCCTTTGGCAAGCAGGCCATGCTGCAGCCTGCCCCCTCCACATATCACTGTTATTGCAAACAAAGCTGCCGTGATTTAAACCTAAACCGTGATCTTAAACCTGACCATGCCGCTGCAGCAAAGCCCCTGAGAGCACTGCTTCTCACTGTGACAATGTCTGTCTCCATTCTCTCCTCAATCCAGCCAGGAGGTTCCTCTGCCTGCCAGGTCACCTGAAGCCCCATACCTGCCCAGCTCTCCTCTGACCCCAGGACACGACTCCTCTGATTTTAGCCCCCGTTTTCTGCCCTCTCCTCTGCTCTCCTCTCCCTTTCCCTCCCCTCCTCTGTCCACAATAGCTCCCTCAAGCTCACAGGGTCCCCTCAAGACATTGACAATGCCTAGGAACCCTCCAGGGGTCCCTCCTCCCAACACTGGACTCCTCGGATCTACTGGATCTACCGTGAGCACAGGCTCCTTGGTGCCCACCTCTATCACCACCCTTCTCCCATCCCTGGCTTCCCCTCCCATCTCAGGGAAGCCCTGTTCTTCCAGGTTCAGAGGCTCAATCTCCAGGGGTGTCCCTGACTCCACGCTCACAGCACATGCAATATCCACGGCTCTACCTTCCAAAATAGATCTAAGCTGGGACAGGCCACTACTTTCTCTGCTCTGCCTCAGCTCTGGCCCTCCCTGGTTTCTCCTGACTCCCTAACTGGCCTCACCTTCCACCCTCCTGCCCCCAGTTCCCCTGCCACCTGGCAGCCAACCCTGGTTAGATCCTGCCTCTCCCTTGTGCAAAGCCCTCAAGGGTTCCCATGGCCCTCAGACAAAAAACTCAAGTCCTCAGGGCATTGGGCAGACTCCCCTATGGTCAGTCCACCCTCACTCAGGCCTCTCCACCAACCCCCTCCCAGCCCTCATGGTCCTTCCTGCGCTTCCAGCAGGCCCTCTGTACTCAGGGCTCCAGACACCACAGGGCTCTGCCTCCTCCCCTGAGGGTCTCTGCTCAATCATCACCTCTGAGTCCGTCTCCCAGATCACCCTAAAGGAAACAGCAATCCCTAATTGAACACCTCCTCCCCAGCACTTGCTAGATGTCAGATAACTTCTGTAAGTCTCCTCCACCTCAGGGACAGAGGTTTTTGTCATCCCTGCTGTATCCCTGCACCAGCCACAGGCCTGATACACAGGAGGTGCATGGGATTTTACTGGCTGAGTGTTCGCTCCCCTCCCCTGGTCCTCCTGCCTCTGGAGAAAGGGAACCACTGGTGGGAGCTGTGGGAGGGTAAAGAAGGAGATGGCCCACACCTCTTGAGTGGCTGTCGTTCCCAGTAACTAGTTCCACACATGATCGCAGTCATCTCACCTCCACTCCATGAGGTAGGAACCATCACCAACAAACCATTTGACAGAGGCAGAGGCAGAGACAGACCCAGAGAGGTTAAGCGATTTGCCCAAGGCTACACAGGTGGGGAGAGGTAGGTAGCACCAGGATCTGAAACCCAAACCCCAGCTGTTGGCTACTGGAAAAGGCCATCTCATTGGGAAGGTCCCTGGGCAACGAGGAATGGGAGCAGAGGGTTCAGGCTCCCGACAACTCGAGTCTGCCACCGGATCCCCCAGCACGGACCCCAACAGAAAGCACGACTTAGGCAGATAGATAGGGCTGGCGTCTTTCGAGCCCTCCCCCTCTCCAGGCACGGCCCCGCCCGCCGCCGCCGCTGCATTCCTGGGGCCGGGGAGGCCCGGGAGGCCCGGGAGGCGGCAGCGGCGTCGATGTGATGCAGATGGCGGGCCAGGCCGGCTCCCGCCCCGGAGGCGGGGCTCGAAGCGGGGAGGGGTCTGCGCGCCTCGGGATCAGAGCTCGGAAACCCCGCGCGGCCGCCTCACAGCCCCTTGTCTGCGGCGACCGCCGAGCCCCCAGATGCGGCCTCTCAGGGCCCTGTGGCCCAGAGCGCCCCGACAGGACCCAGCCCGCAACCCCGCGGCCGCCTCTCCAGCTTCCCGCCTGTGTGGCGCCTCCCAACACGTGCAAAGGCACCCACACACACCGGCTCCTTAACCCCCGCGTGGAGATGTCCTAGACCTCGCCGTGGCCTCTGACCGGCCGATCAGGTCCTCCGACCCCTGTGCCCAATCCTAGCATCCTGTCCTCTGATCTTCGCAACTCCGCGCGAGGCTCTCGGCCCGCCGCTCTCCGGCAGGGCTTGTCCCCTGCCTATTCTCACATTTGCTTTCCCAGCCGCCTCCTCGTGGCGCCCCAAAATCCCCAGCCGCGAGTTCCACATCCTCCCGACTCCGGTGCATGTCATTGTCCTTTCAATTCCCTCTTCAGGTCCACTCAGAGCGCAGGCTTCTCAGTGCCCACCTCTATCACCACCCTTCTCCCAGCCGCACTCGCTCTTTCTAAGACACAACTCTGTCCTTCCTCAAGCCCACCCCGGCTCCCAACTCTGGAGCGGAGCTCCATCCCCCCTCACCCTCCCTCTTAGCTGGAGTCACATCTGTGCCCCGGGCCTTTGCACATGCCATTCCATCTGCTTGGAATTCCTTTACTCGACTTCTCCCTTTGGCCTTCTCAACCTGCCCAATGCCCCTTTATCTAGGTCTGAAATCTCGTACACCGAGTGTCATCCCTCTCGGCGTCCACTGCACTCTGTTCTCCCCTCAGCTGACTTTTCGTCGAGGGTATCATCTGATGCTCCGTCGCGGCCGGCGACCAGCCTCGGCCTGGAGCGGAGCAGGCGTCCAGTGGGGTGGCTGAAGGGGCCGGCACGTTTGGCGTAGGGAGGTCCCGGGTG